GGATCGAACCCACGACCTGCCGCTTGGAAAGCGGCTGCTCTACCATTCGAGCCAGCACAGTTATGGAAGAATGGTCGGATCAACTCATACTTAGACCATCAATCCGAGCGCGAAAGCAACATTAGCGCAACAACCAAGCCTTAGATGAAAGACATTTATATATAGTGTGTATAGTAGTATTTATATTGTCATTACCCGGTAGATTGAGATGTCATTTAATCTATTGCCAAGTAATAGATACACTTTTAACTGAACCCTGATAACAGGGGTGTGAGTGTGTCACACGAGATAAGCATGGTGTGACCACACCCAAAAAGAATACGTAAGGGGCTAGGTAGCCAGAGGTTATGCATGTATTTGGATTTTACTATATATAAAGAGTATATTGAGGAAAATCTTAAATTTTTAAATGAGCATAATAAAGAGATAAAAATCAGTTTTGAACTTAAACCGAAGAATCAATTTGCCTTGGGAAAGCAATAATTACTCCTGGAGTAAGCGGATTGCGATCCGCTAACTCGTACTTGGTTCTCGTAAAGAACGAATGGTCGGTTTCCTAAAGTACGCTTCCTCAAGCGCTAAGCTACGGCAGCCCCGCTGCACTTGGTAGCACTTGTCAATCTACACCTGAGTCGTTTAGACTGATCCTCTGTGAGGATAGAGAAATTTTCCTCTTTGCCCCCGGGCATGCAGGATGGGTTTAACAAGCTGATGTCCTTGCTTGGCCCTGAGGGCGTGCTACACCTTGTAGCGCAAGGTACCGAGGCAATCGGTGCGCGTCTAATGGCGCTTTCAAGTTACGAAAACGTGCTGCTAGAGCACCTGCAGCCGAAGATGCCTGCATCATATGCGTCTATGACGCCACCGTTGGTGACGGACAAATTTCCCCGCCTTAAGCCGCTCATGGTGAGCGTTGAGGTCTTTGAGGAGAAGGATGGCGAGAATCTCTTGCTCTGGGTGAGAGAGGTCGAGATGGCCATCGCATTCGCCATGCTCCAGACCAAGCAACAGCGCGTAGCGCTAGCCATCTCCAAGCTCGGGGGTCGAGCGCGAGAATGGGCACTGACGTGCGACACTTCGGTCGAAGCTGCGTTTCTCTCCTGGGCGGAGCTGAAATTGCAGCTCTCATTAGTGTTTTTGCCGCCTAATCAGGCATATCGCGTGCGATCACGTTTCCTTGCCACCCGACATGGCAACAAGGAATTGGTGGATTTTGTCCAAGAGATGCGCACTCTCATTGCCGGAATTA